AAACCCACCACCCACAGAGAACTCTTCTGTCTTATGCTGTGTGTCTCCCCACTTTACTCATCTTACCTTCTGGGCATGGAAGTCTTAGCACCTCAGGCTTCCAGGTGCCTTTGAAAATGTTTGAGCTCCAACATATAGGGGGGAAAAACCGTTGCAAAATCAGAATCCATAGATGTTTAATTAAAAGTCTAGAAACCCTAACATGTCAAGTTCATTAATTGTTCTACTTAATCATCATAAAAATTTCATTACACTTAATTATTTTTGAAACAAATTTACAGGTGAAATCATCTCACTTTGAGAGCATTCCCAAGACTCCTGGACACTCGGTGAAGAATTTGTAGCCAATCATAATTAAATTAATTTCTTGTAGGCAAATAATTTTGGAAGCGAAATTATTTTTAGAAATCATTTGATTATAAAAATAAAAGTTAGATGTGAATTCATTCCAATTTATTTGTTGGGGTGTGGGGAAGGGCTTTCCAAAAAGAGTTGGCGGGGGAGGAAAGGTATGAGAGCAGCTGAGAGCTGGCCACACGCCCTCTCCCTTGCCCACCTTCTGCCATCTGTCTCCAGCACCCAGGACCACCTTTCCAAATTCCTGTCTGGCCGTGGGTAAAAGTCCTCCTGTTGCCCTTCCTTTGCCCCTGGGAAAAATCTCAAGTTACTAGCACCACTAATTTCCTGGCCCCGCCCAGCTGCCTAACTCAGCACCACCAGCCCAGGTCCCCTTTACTGGCCAGCACTGCTGGCAGGGAGAAGGGACCTGGGACTCAGCCTGAACCACCTGTCAATCCCTGGATTGGGCAATGTGGTCTCTTCTACAGCTGGAGAGGGAAGCTGAGCTGGGAACCAGTGTGGGGGCCTCTCCTGCTCCCCTTTCCCCAGTCAGGCCCTAGCATGCGGCCTGCGATTAAGAAGGCACAAGAAACTATTTGGTGAATGACCAGCTGAATAAATGGGACTGCCCTGTCACCTGAGAGAAGGACAGCTGGAGACCCTATAGTGATGATATGACCAGCTCCTGTTTATTGAGCACATACTATGTGCTCAGTGCTCTGCTAGCACCTTCAGGGGCACAATCTCATTTAACCTTTGCAGCACCCCACAACTGAGGCTCAGTAGGAGTAGTGGCTCACTCCAGGCACTGAGCTAAAAGGTGGGGGTGCCAGGACCAGAGACCCAGGTCTGCCTGACTAGTGGACACGGTGACTGAGCTCTGCCTTCAAGTGCAGCGAACAGAGCCTTTGACACAGCATCTCAGCTTGGTCTTGGTTTCTCTCCCTCCTCCACTAGCTCCTGTGACCACGTGCAATCCCCATCCCTCTCTGGCCACCTCCAGTTCTCAGACCTTTGCCCTTGACCAGAGACATGTTATTCTCCACATTGGGTGCCTTCTGACCTTTCCACTCTCACCCCCGAGATGAATTCATGGAGGAAATGTGAAATTAGCATCCAGGCTGCCTGCAAGAAAGGAGACTGGGTTTCACCAACAGATCAGTATGTCATTATCATTTGGTTTGGGGAGAGAGTTCAAATAGTTTCCAGAAAAATACAAGCCTGGAGAAGGAGTCTGCTTTTTGGGACAAAAAGAGATTTGAGCCCTGGCAGGCAGTGGTGCCACTTGGGATCCCCTGAGCCTTGTGAGGCCCTTCCTAGGCAGAGAAAGGGGGGACTGGTGTCCTGCTTCCCTTCCTCTCCCCTTTTGCCTTCCACACTGAGAGCTTGAAAACTGCCCTTGAATTCAGTCTCGGACCTGATCAATAAATAGGCCCCATGAATGGCCACGCCTGAGTGCATAGAGGAGGTATCCTTGTTCCTTCCTCAAAAGAGCAACAGAGCTTCACAATGGAAAGGACAGCTAGGTATCCTCCAATACCTATTGTCCCTCCTCGAAGGAGCAACAGAGCTTCACAATGGAAAGGACAGCTAGGTATCCTCCAATACCTATTGTCCCATATTTTTAAGTACTAGAATCCCCAATTTTAACTGGGTGCATTGTGGCCCAACATAAAGACCATTTTTTCCCAGCCTTCCTTGCTGGGACATGAGACGTCTGGAATTCATGGGAGCCATGAACCTGCTGGGAGGTTCCTGGGGACCACTCAGAGAGCCAGGGTGGAGGCCAATGTGGCTTCAGGATGGAACATGAGACGAATGGGATGTCAGTGGAATGTGTGTGCAACTTGCAAGTGTTCTTAAAAGGGAGATACATGCTCTTCTTCCCTTTCCTCTTTCCTGCTGGAAGGAGTGCAGATGTGGTGGCTGGAGCGTAAGCAGCCATTCTAGAACACAAGGCCAACCTTGGAAAAGGGGCCACAAATGGCAGAGCAACAAGATAGAAGGGGCCTGGGTTTCAACACCATTGTGTGCCACACCAAACCTGGGCCATCTATCAGACTGTTTTAGGAGAAATAAAGAAAGAAAGAAATGTCTGGATCGGGTAAGCCACTGATATTTGGGGTTAAGACAGTCTTTACAGTCAAAATTACCTTGGAAATCTCTTAAATTGAGAAGAGAAATAAAAGATAATCCACATCTTTAAAAGTGAGAATTTCACTCAGTGTGGTGAGAGGCTCACAGCAGGTTCACGGCTTCCATGAATCCCAGACATGCTATGCAATGTTGGGGGAGGTGGAGCCCACCTACATTAAATTGTATTTTTCTTTCTCTTTCTCACTTTCTTCTTTTGCCCAGTGCCCAAGGTTACATTGTAGAGATGCATACAGCACATTTTCTAACTTGTGAGCACTTACTAAGTGTCACATAGACATGCTTTTTCTTCTTTATTATCTCTGTTTCACAGTTGGAGAAACAAAGGCTCAGGGAGGCCCACTGCAGGGCCTGCGCTGGAGAAGGCAAGAAAAACCCTTATCTGGGCGCCACCTCGCAGGGTGCTTGGCCTTTCCAGCATAGCGGCTCCTGCAGGGTCCTGGGGACCACTCAGAGCGCCAGGGTGGAAGCCAACATGGTTCAGGGTGAGACGCCGGGGACAGGAAGGGGCCATGCAAACATTGCCCCGATGGTCACGAGGGTGCCAGCCTTCACCACTGAAACACATGTGGTCCTTCCAGGAGCCAACCGGACCCTCAGGATGAAGCTTGAGTCCCTCAGCCTGACCTGCAAGCCCACCAGACCAGGCGCCTGGGTCAAGGCCTNTCAGCCTGACCTGCAAGCCTACCAGACCAGGCGCCTGGGTCAAGGCCTGGGCTTGGTGAGTCCACGCTAAGAGGTGAGCGGCACTCAGGGAAGGAGTTAAGAAACCTGAGGAGGAGAGGCCAGGGAGGACAGAGGAAGCCGCGGGTCGGCTAGATGGACTCGGGTTTCCCTGGGGAGATGATGGGTGGGAGGTCCCAGCTCCATCAGAGGGACCAGGCAGAGGTGGGCCTGCGCCCAGGTTGGTGAGTGGTGCCACCTGGTGGCCAGTCCCTGCACAGTGCCTCCCAGGGTTCACCGGGGCTCAGCAGTGGCCCCTTCCACAATCTTCCTCAACTCCTGCAACTACTCCGCATTTAAAATTATTATCGTCAGTTCATATAGAGACACAGGTTTCTTCGGTTTCACACAAAAGAGGAACAAAAGCATCATTGTGGTTTCCTGGTTTTACTGAGTGGTCAGACTCTCCACCACCAACCCATGCCGATGACATCGCCTGGGACCCTCGGCCTCGCCCCCGAGATTCGGCTTTCATTGATCTGGACGCGCACTGAGCATCCGGACTCCTGCTTGCTCTGCAAAGGCAGCTTCTGGACAAGCCTCCGGGACCCCTTCCCTTGCTGCTATCGCTGTTCTTAACCCCTCTGCAGAAATGACGCCTGGCGAGTGTCCCCAGAGGGAGCAGGACATCCGCTGCGGCCCAGGCCTCTGCACCTGGGGGCCCCTAACCCCAGGGTTTCCTGGGCTGAGTTCTTGATCCTCTTGGCTGCCTCACACAAAACCCTTCGTTTCTGTAGGCCTCAGTTTCACTTCTATTACCTGAAAGAGAGCAGTGACTGAACTGCTTGGGGATCTTGCTTATGCAAGAGATGGGGTCTTTTTCGTGAAATGTGGGTCCCCAAATGTTCTCATGGCTGTAAATGACACTGGAAGTAAATGGGGGCACAGAGAAGTTAAATAGCTTGCCCAAGGTCACACAGCCAGTAAATGTGTGGGAGGGGCAGGGTTAGAACCCAAGCATTTCTGTGGTCTTGGACAAGTGACCTCACTGACCTGAGGCTCAGTTTCCCCTCTGAGAAAAGAGGCCAGTACTAGTCCCTACCCTGTAGGTGAGTTCGAGGGGCACACGAGATTTGAAAGCACACAGTAGATGCTCATTAAAGAGAGTTGTCATTTTGAAACGCACATGATCGCAGGCACCCATCCACCCACCCAGGCGCCTTAGCCTCTGTGTGGGGGTGTCAGGGTGGGTATCACTGGGCACCGGAAGTTCCAGCACCTGTGAGTTGTTCTGCCCTGCTGACATCTAGTCCACTCCCTCTCGCTCATCAGTTCTGCTTTCAATTTTGTTTCTTTTGATTGCCACACAGAGAAGTTTCAATTTCTTTTTCTTCAAAATGCTGATCAGTTCAGCTCCCAGAGGCCTCTGCTTCCGGGGTGTAAATAGCTAACACCTGTCCGGAGGAGCCAGCCTCCCAGTCACAGCTGCCAGACGCCCAGGCTCAGCCACGCAGGAACACCCAGCCTGACCCAGCCCACCCTCTCAAGCCCACGGCCCAGGAACCAGCCACTGCACCCCAAGTCTCCTGGGGCTTCTAGCAGCTGCTGTCATCATGGCCCAGGCGTCTGCAGACCCAGACAAAAGAGGTACTTTCTTCCTTCCAAGGAACAGTGGGAACCTGGGGGGGCTGGCACCGCTTTGCTTGGCCTAGATTACAGCAATGATAGCGACCCAACCCTGGAGCACGCAGCACCCAGATGGAGGAGGCTGGCCCGAGGCTGGCTCTGCCCTGGGCGCCTGGCAATGTGCTCGCATGCATTTCACAATAACCTCAGCGGGAGCGCCGTGATGTTTCCATCTCACACAGGGGACCACCAAGGCCCTGAGAGGTAAAAAGACTCCGGCGTCCGGCTGCTGCTGGGGGCTGGGGCAAGGTTTTCACACTCATGTTGAGAAACAGCACAAGTTGCTTTGATAAGAGGTTTGCATTCCCTCGTTGCACTCACTTCCCTCCTGGGAGGGCACCAGCGGCCAGGGGGGGGAGGGCGCTGAGCAATCGTCCTATTCTAGGGTGCTCCTGGTGGCCTGTGGGCTGTAGGCTGGGGTGGGGGTTGGGTTTTTTTGGTTATTGTTATCATTAGCTCATTTCATCCCCACCACAATCTTTGAAGTAGCTGCTATCACCCCCACTTCACAGATGGAGAAACTGAGGCACAGAGAGGTCGCACAGTTAGTAGGTGGCAGAGCTGGGGCTCACACCCAGGGATCAAAACGGAGGGAAAGCAGGCGCGCTGGGGAGGGAGGGCGGTGCCTGGCCCAGGCGGCCCGGCCGGTTCCCAGGCTCCTGTAGCAGTTCCCCAAGGGGGACACGCAGGTACTGGCCAAGGGCACTCGATAATCACGTTTAACTTCTTCCCTGTTGGGCTTTCCTTTCCTTATCACCTTGTCATTGTCACTTGTCACTTGTAGCTGGATCATTTCACAGCCTCCCATTTGCTGGAGACCTCAGCTCCCTCCACTTCTCCTTTGCAGTCAGGGCCGTGGAGGGGGGGCCTCACCCAGGGGCAGGCTTTTCAAGAATCAAAACTCTTTTCAGGACAAGGCAAAGCCAGGTGTGTGGTTGATTGGACAAGGATTTCGGGTGGCTGGTGACTGCTTGGGGCAGAATTTGGTGGGTGAAGCAGGGGGCACCTCAGGGATTCTAATTGCACTTTACCTGCCTGGCAAGGACACAAATATTGTGACCAGTAAGGCAAGCTGCAGCCCCCAGCCAGAGAGTGTGGAAGTGGATTGTCCCTTCCCCCACTAGGACTGCCACCAAGGAAGTGGAAATAGCCAGAAGGCAAAGGATCAGACAGGCCGGCCAACCATGGAAGGGGTCCCGGACTGCTCCCCGCAGGGCCCTGCTCTGCATTGCCCTGGGGTTCCCCGGGCAGCGTTTCCTGGTGACAGGCGGGCGGGGCATCCTGTCCTCACACGCCCTGTGGAGCAGCTGGCTTGGTTTGGGGGATCCTGCCCCAAGGAGGTAGAAGCAGAGAAGACATGAGGGCCAGGAGAGAGCCGGGGGCAGAATTTCCAAGGCAAACCCACTGCCGGGGCTGCGAGCCCTGCGGAGGGCAGAGTGTAAAGTGAGGAGGAAGCTGGGCTCTGGGAACTGAGTGGCGCGTCTCCTGGGGCCACTCCGCCACCTCCCCTCCTCTCCCTCCCGGCTCCTGCCCTCTGGCCCTCACCCTCCCCATCCTGCCCCCTCAAGTCCCCTCTGCTCTCAAGATCCCTGAGAGCTAAGCGCCCACCTGCCCCCAGCCGCTCACAGCAGGTGGACATGCTGAAGGCCTGGGCACCTCCTCTGGCCACCAGGATGTCCAGCCAAGGTCATTTCTGATCAGCCATGTGCCCCTCACTGAACAGGTGTCTCCTCGGCCCCTCCCACGTGGGCCTCCCGCCCCCAGCCTCCAGCCCAAGCTCCGATGTGGGGCACTCAGTTCGCCCCTGCCCCTCTCTCCTCTCCCAGACCTTGAGCAGAGGATCCTGCAGGTGCTGAAGGACGCCGGCTCCCCCGTGAAGACTGCCCAGCTGGCAAAGGAGTGCCAAGTGCTCAAGAAGAGGCTCAACCAAGTTCTCTACGGGATGAAGAAAGAGTTGAAAGTGGATCTCGTGGGCCGTGCGACATGGCGCTTGGGCGTGGGTGGGACTGGAGAAGTGGTTCCCACAGAGCCGGCCCAGCCCAGCCATGGTAACTGCCATCCTGGGGGGCGGGGGACCCAGCACCAGCAGGCCCTGCGAGGACAAGCCTGGATTTGGGCCTGGGTTTGAACACAGGCTCTGCCCCTCGGGGGTGCATAATGCCCCCTCACTGTGCCTTGACTTCCTTTTCTGGCCGGTGGAGACAAGAGTAGGGCTGCTTTGTAGGGTTGCGAGAGGATTAGCTGCGAAGGGTTCAGCCCAGTGCCAGCACATAGTAGGTGCTCAGCAAAATATAATAACAAAGTAATAATGACAATGATAATGGTAATAATAATAGAACAAACTTAACATCACACTAGATTTTCTTACCTAGTTCTGTAGCCCACAGACTGAAAGAGCTGACATTTGTCAGGTACTTATAGTGGGCCAGGCGGTGCCCGGGTTCACCCAGACGGTAAGAGACGTCAGGTGGCAGGGAAGCCGCGCAGCTGGAAGGAGGCAGGGCAGGACTTGAAGCCAGTCTGCTGAGCTGGAGAATCAGAGTTTGGAAAGCCAGCAGCCTGTCTTCTCTGGTAGAGCCCCCGTCCCACCTTCTGACCTGTCTTTCTTTCTTTTTTAATTTTTTTAAAAAATATCTTTATTGATTTCAGGGATAGGGAGAGATGGAAACATCAAAGATGAGAGAGCCATTGGTCAGCTGCCTCCTGCACTCTCCCTACTGGGGACCAAGCCTGAAACCCGGGCCTGTGCCCTGATCCGTAATCGAATCACAATCTCCTGGATCCTAGGTCGATGCTCAGCCGCTGAGCCACGCCGGCCCGGCTGACTCTTCTTTCTTTCTCCAGCAGAAAGGCCCCCACAAGACACAGTCGCAATTCCTCAGAAACCTGGCTCTCAGCTCAGTGAACAGCGTAAGCATCCCACTTCCTTTCAGCTCCTGGGACATGGGGCCCATTTCTTCTGACTGCCAACTCTCTTTGGCCACTTGAGATGTTATGAGAGTTCAGGGGCTCTGCCCACCCCC